TCACAGACCTTAAAATTATACTGCAGAATCACAAAGGCGGGTACAGCTGAAATTTTAAGAGCCACCACATATCTTGCTTATCGCAAAAATCACATATATCTTGGCAAGCCTCGAAGAATCAAACCATTTCTTTACTTTGTATCAGTAAGGTTTAAGACCTCATTTATGTCATTTACTAATGATCTCACAATATCATGCACAACAAAGGATACGTGTCAGCCCTGCGGTGAATCCCAGCCTGTGTACGTCTAGATCAGAGGAAATGCTTTGGAAATGCTGGATTTGAAAAGCATTGAAAGGTCTGTAACATTCCCCGTGTGTCGTCGTAGTTCCAATTGACTGATGATTGATTTCGCGTAGGGGTACTGTATTCGATTTCTACTGTTAAAGCAAAATTCTTTTGGAAAACGAAGACTCTTAGCTAATTAGTTGAAGCAAAATGAATAATCATGATACATCTACAGAGCATATTACGATCGAAATTTCGTCTATATTGATATAATTCTCGGGCAAATAGCGTCAAACGTTTTATTCTTCTTTACAATCGTTTCTTAATAATGGGTCCGATCTTTTTATGATATTTTATTAAYAAATCATAGGGGGTCTTCGCTTTCCAGATCTGGAAAACGAAGACCCCGGTCAAATTTCGTCTATATTGATATAATCCTCGCGAAAATAGCGTCAAACGTCTTTATTCCTCTCTGCAATGGTTTCTTCCTAATGTGTCAGATCTTTTTATGATATTTTATTGAGACTAATCACAGAGGGTCTTCAGATCTGGAAAACGAAGACCCCGTCCAAATTTCGTTATATTACGCCGTGAATATTGCATTAATCGTAGACGTCGATCGTAATATGCTCTGTAGACATATCATGATTATTCATTTTGCTTTTCGTTTTCCAAAAGAATTTTGCTTTAACAGTAGCAATCGAATACCCCTACGCGAAATCAATCATCAGTCAATTGGAACTACGACGACACACGGGGAATGTTACAGACCTTTCAATGCTTTTCAAATCCAGCATTTCCAAAGCATTTCCTCTGATCTAGACGTTCACAGGCTGGGATTCACCGGTGATGCAGAAATCTGGTCTAGTCATAGTAACTTTATTTCAACTCAACAGGATTTGAAACATGCAGATATCATTCTTCTGGTCCTTAGATCACGATCGAGATTATCTTTATTTAAAAAAAAACACAATAATAAGTCGACTCAGGATATTCCCGTAAGAAGCTAAAAATTAAGATCAACTAGACCCTGTATGCAGGGCTGACACGTACCCTTTGTTGTGCATGATATTGTGAGATCATTAGTAAATGACATAAATGAGGTCTTAAACCTTACTGATACAAAGTAAAGAAATGGTTTGATTCTTCGAGCCTTGCCAAGATATATGTGATTTTTGC